GTACCACTCAATTGATTGGGAAAGCTGAAAAAAAAAACCGAATGAATTTTTCATGGCGGGTCAGAACAACCTACGCTGATTTAGTTTTAAGTTTTCCATCCAGGGAGATTTAGTAAAAATCCATCTGTATACACATTCATGCCCCAAGAGACGGGTGTTAGGAAAGCGAAGACCCTCGAAAACGAAGACCTAAGACCCTGTAAACAGAAAATCGTAAAAATTACCAGTTCAACACAAAAACGATTAGCAATACAACGCTTAGTAATATACTACATCACACCTCACGCTTTTCTTTATTATACTGCCAGCACTACTGGCCCGTCTTGTCTGTTTCGCTTTGCGAGCCAGTTTGGTGTTGATATTCTCGAGGGTTTCCTCGGGTAAACTTACCACACATATTATGCTGGAACAGCAGGCAGAATTCGAACGCTAGCCACCTTTGATTTATAGTTAGCATTGCGTGACAGAATAACAAAGAACGCGTTCTGTACAGGAAATGAATTTTGGGTTCTGTCAATAAATAATCAATGTCTACTGTATTTCGTAGCTTAGATAGATTCTGACGGTCGTTAAGCCTAATCTCTTCTGGAAAATTCTCGTTAAAAAGTAAGCAATTATTTTGGCTCATGCAGGGTCTTCGTTTTCGAATTACGGTCTTTTCGTCCAGAAGTCTTTTCATCCAAGTCTTTTCGTCCAAAAGTCTTTTCGTCTAAGTCTTTTCTTCCACAAGTATTTTCACCTAAGTCTGTTCATTTACTTGTTAACTCTTTTCTCGGAGCAAATAAATAACTTTTAGAAGGCGAGATAAGGCTATATAAAGAACTTGTTGCGAGCCGCCTCCATTTGGGTATGTCGGACTCGTAGTGATGTTACACTTTGTTGCCTTTTACGCTCAATAGACGCTTAACAACGTGCCAAATATTCCCATTTCTTTCGTGTGAAATAATTAAATGGCAAGCAAGTCTTTATTTTTGCCACTATTTAATAAAATATATTGCGTTACAACTTCATTCATTCTCTGTGTATTAAATTCACGATGTTGAATTCTTAGACGAAGATTGGTTAACCAAAAGGGCAACGGCTCACACTGATAAGTTCTTTATATATGCTTATCTATAATATAATATAATAGTTATTTATTTGCTTAGCGGAAAGATCGACTTAACAATTAGACGTATGTACAGACTTAAGATGAAAATACTTTTGGGCGAAAAGACTTTCAGACGAATACCCTGCTGGTAGAGGCGTTTATTTGTTAACTTCCCCTACGGTCTGCGTAAAAATAAAGTCCTCTGCGCTCGGCCTGTTAAATCTTCTTCGAGCATGCACGGCCTGTTGCTTAGAAACAAATTAGTTCCCGCTAGTGGCTTCAACAAAGCCTCTATGATACA